TTCAGGCGGATCTGCAGCAATTCGTAACATCGAAAAGGCGGTCGAAAAAGCATTCGAAAAAACCGGCCATCGAGCAGCAGGATGATCCGAACCCAGAGGAAGGAACGTACCGGGTCTACCTTGATGCCAGTCCACAATTGGCGGAGTTTTCCATCGAAAATGACTGCTTTGATATGCTTAGACATGACCGGCCGCTTCTTGAACTGTACTTGTACGTCTTCTGTGCCCTGGGAATAGATCGCTTTGTCGACGAGTACTCCGAGTTGCTACGCTATCACTGCACCAACGCCCACGCGCTTGTTCAAAACAAAGTAAATGATTGGATGAGCGGAAGCGTCGACAAACAGCCGATTACCATATGGCAAGTGATTGCTTCAGCTGTCGCTCTGCATCTAGAGAGCGCCGACGCTAACCTATCATATGAGAAGCACCAAAGATGCGGCGCGAGCGCAGATACAAGCTTCCTCCTGGAGTTGCTTTCGAGAGAAAGAAAAGCTCTCGATTGGCCTGCACCCTACCATCATCTCAATAGAGATCTCGCACTGTTGACCTTACGCGGTCCACTACAGCAGCTCCTTTCTCATATACCAAAACGCGCTATGGAGTTGTCAAGCAAGAATGATACGTCGTTCGTCAACACAAGTAAGGCTTTTCTCGAAGATTACACAATCACAGAATGGGACTGGTGGCCCCTAGCTCCTCGCGTACCCGACGTTAAGTATGGAGAAAGCCGCCTCCAGTGGAAGGTATGTTTCTGAGTCCTCATGAACCCTTGTGTAAAGCTTCTAACCCATGAAGTTTGGCGGAACTCGATTATATGAGACTTTGTCCTCACTCGAATGCAACATCATTCGATTCGCCATGCCCTCATTGCCGAACCATCCGAAACAGTGCTCTTGCTGTCACATTGAGAGCCCTGGAAAGACCTCAAGCGCTGCTTCTCCACAGCCTGTCAATCTTCCCCCGGAGCCACAACCTAGCCAATGGTGTTTGAGTCTCCCGATGACCTGGATTAAGGCGGCTGCTGGTACAGCAGCAAACTCTTCCAATTCATCGACAGCTAGCCAGCGCTATACTCCAACAAACCCCTCCGCGACGTCCATAACAGGGACTAACTCAGCAGCTGCAGGTGGAACCAGCACCAACCCTTCCGCGATCAATAATAGCAACTCCATGCCGCAGATTGCGGGTCAGCCAGCCACCAATCCGTCCATCGTACTCCTAGACCTATCATTGCGCGTCCTTTTCGGAGTGCAAGGATCGCGATGGTCTCTTGAAGTCGAGCAGATCAGTACAGCTCTGCTGAACGACCCCGCGTTCTTCCGTGAGCTCAAGACACGATACAAGAAACATCGACATTGGATCAAACGACTCGTTTCACCGTTTCGTTTTCGATTCTGCCGCTTCGTCAAGCTCGAAAAGTTCGACACCGGACGCGTGCTATCCCAAGGCGACGACCTCCCCGACTACCCTGGTGTCAAAGACGACTACGAATACGATCCAAGACCAGGCACGAACCCCATGATATCACCCAAAACATTCGCAGTCTGCCTGAAAGCCTGCGACATGAACTGCAAATGGCCATGGATCAATCCATGGCATGACTGCGTGAGTCTACCATGCCGCTCATACAGACTAGGTTGTATCCCAAAGAAGAAAACCGAGTTCGACATACAGTCCGACGACGCCATCGCTGTTGCTTGGGGCCTGGAGGCCGATCACGCAATCTCCTTCGCCTTCATGGCAGTCTATCACCTCGTGCCATTACTTGCCGCATTCGGCTTCTGGATCTATTGGCTGATCAAATTCCCTGGCGACTGGCAAAACGCTGCAGTACCAGTGCTGACTGTATTGGCAATCTTTGCAGTATTGTGGGTGCCTTTTGGCAAACATCTTGGAATAGTCTAGCTCTGACCAACAATCCCGGCTTACTATAACCCACGTCTCTTCCATCGCTTAAGACCAGGTAGATAACGCTCTCCAATAGAGTACCATGATATAAGGAACGGTATAGAGTAATTGTCGGGAATCTCAAGCGACATTGGCATCATGCGCACCTGGTGTGGGATCGTAATGCAGTGGTATTTCCACCGCATGTGCCCCTTAACCGAAGTGCCCCAGGCCCGTTCATGCATACAAAGACCATGGTGATCTGTTCGATGTACCGCCACACCTAAGCGATCACACAACTGCACGTCGCATAATGTTACTGGGGTAGTCCAAGCACGGCGCCACCAATGCTTGCAACAAAGCCATCTCAGCCGTCTTACAACGGGAAACGAACGCGTGGGGGCACCCGAGCCGAACGTGCATGAGTTAGGCGTACGCGGTGGCTTTGTGTGCTGCATGCAATAATTCATTGGGACAACGTGCATGGCATGTCACAGCAGTGTCACCGCGGAGCTGGTTGGAACACGTGCATCGGAGCAAGGCGATGATAAGATAACGTCTTACTTGCGTTCACCCGCCACCCACGCCGAAACGAGTTCGCAAGGTATTGAGCCGCCGCAGCGTTTCCGGCATGTCGTTATTGCCGCTCTCGGTGCGCGTCAATCGGTAAGCCGCGTAATCTCGGTTCTCTTGCAGGAGGGTGTCGATGAGGGTGAAGTCGCCAATGACACACTGGCCCGAACTGAGAAGCTCCATAGCATCGGCATGGCCAGATTCGGAGGATGATGGTAGTAGGGCGTCTTCTTCGTGTTCGGGATCCATGCCAAAGTCTGACAGCGTATCGGTTCGGTGTAACACACCTCGCTCCTCATCATCGGCATCCTGATCTCGGTTCGCGTTGTCATTCGTCGCCGCTGCCGTCGCTGTCGGTGCCGAGTCTGACGTGGCTCGGGTGGTAGTGGTGTTTGGTGCACCCCCACCAGCTGACAGTTTGGCCAGTTTCTTCTTCAGCTCCCGCCTCTTGACGTGTACCGAAACCATGACAAGCTGCAGGAACAGGATGCATATGTCGAGCGCCCCAAGCTTCCACTTGCTCGTGGGTCCCTGCTGCCCGATAAAGTCTATCATCAAGCCGCCGTGCAGATAGCCTCGGGTATCTTCGCCAGCCGATGGCGCGGGATATGTAAGATGTAAGAGGAAATTTACTCCAAACGATATCAGGAGCAGCGGGAGGAAGGGCCTCGGTTCGTCTGGCGGGCGGGTAACGGTCGCGGTGTCGGGGATGGGCGTCAGCAGGAAGGCATGTGTAAGTGCCTTGAACAGGAGCCAGAAGAACGAGCAGCTACAGAAACGATTAGCGCAAAGTAGCAGCATGTGGACAGTAAGCGTACTCCAAGTGGTAGAGCGTGATGAGTTCCAGGTAGACGATCATGTCCAATTCCCGCAACAGCTCGCCCAGCATCTGTATGCGCTTCCTCTTCGCATCCAATTTCCGCTGCTTGACCTGCTTCTGCTTCTCTCGCTCTTCCGCCTCTTCAAAGCGGGCCAGCGCATCCTCTAGATCGGCCAGGTGGGATGCCGCGGTATTGTCATGGCGCTGAGTAGCTCGAGACGACTCGGCCTCATCGTTCATGGCGCAGCGAGGGGAGTTTGCCTGTCGCCTCGTCTCTCATTGAAGGCGACGTGGTGGTTTGGAGTGGATAGAGATGCTTGACCCGGGCTGTCGTGGTTCGCGCAGCTTTGGTCATGTAGTTGTAGGCACCACTCGCGCGCATCGGGCCTGGAACATCAGGAAGGGCCGATGGCCGAAGTGGTGAGATAATCGATTGCTCCGCATCTTGAAGCCATACACAACCCACTCTGTACCTGTAATAGCGCTTCCAGGGCTTCTGTATAGCTTCAGTCTGCGCATTCAGAACTAGCGCAGTCTTCTATATCCGTGGGTTCATGTAACGACCCTGTCATTGTACACTTCTACCCACGCGACACCTCCGCCGCCTCCGCATTTGCATCTGCATACTACCCACCATGTCTTTCGGACCACCAAACAGCGCGCCGTTGCCCTCTTCTTTCGACGAGAATGCGTATGTGGACTCAGTCACCTTTCTAGCCAATCTCTAGGATTACATAAGATACACCTACTAACTACGTCATCCAGCGACTTCTACAATGAAAACACCCTCGACAAGATATGGCGCCGCTTCCGCGAAGAGCCCCTCGTCCCCCTCGGCTGCGGTCTGACCGTCTGGGCCATTATCGGCGCAACCCGCTCGATGCGGAAAGGCGACCACAAGGCGACCAACATGTACTTCCGCCGACGTCTATACGCCCAAGCCTTCACAATCGCCGTACTGGTCGCAGGAAATATGTACTGGCAAAAGGACCGCGTGAAGCGCAAGGAGTACGAGAAGCAAGTTGCGCAGAAGGAGCGCATGGACAAGAGGGACAGGTGGCTGAGGGAGTTGGAGATGCGAGACGAGGAAGACAAGGCCTGGAAGGACAGGATGGCTAAGAAGGCGAGGGGTGTGGGAGAGGAGGCCAAGGGTGTGACTGACATGGTCGCTGAGAAGACGAAGGAATTGAAAGACAAGACTGTCGGGAAATAAACATGAGAGATCATGAAGAGTCCGGCCACAAGAAAAAACATCACGAGCACTCCTTGGGCGACGAGGATCGACGGCAGAGGGATGCGCTCGAGTACACGCCACGCTTCGAACGACACACTCTCGTTGTATATATACTGCATATTGTATGATGTGGAATATGGGACAAGTGATTTATGAGCAACCTGTCACTACACAAACACCTGCGCTCCACGCGCTACGAGGCTGTGGTATTAGCCACGGATGCAACCTTTTGTAACATAAAACGACATAACATACCCAATGAATATTTCAGGAGTTAGGATTTATGTCATTCACTACATCGAAATCACATTCAACTCTTCACTGCCATAGGATCAAGCGTCGCAGGCACAAGTCATGACTTGGAGAACACTTAACACTGGGTCTTCCATGAAGTGCGCTTCATATGGTTGCTAGAATACTTATCCTTCTACTCACCACGACATCTAGCGTTTCTCACCAAAGCCGCCGCTTTCCGAGATAGCCATGTCCGCTTCTCCAGCAAAGAACATTCCCTGCTGCACGAAGTGCTCCACACCCCGAACCTACTCACAGTTCATCGCAAACCACACCTCCACCAAGCAACTACACCTATTCTCAGAACAAGACACATGCGCCATCTGCCAGCTCCCCTACGGCAGCTCAAACCTCGCCCTCCAAATGCTTGACAAGGCTCTCGCCATCATAAACCTCCCCGGTTGCAACCACATCCTCGGTTCAGCCTGTATCCACCAGATGAGCCTCGACACGTCATCCAGCTCTTCACGGCGATGTCCCCTCTGCCGAAAAGAATGGTGGCAACAACCGGAATACTATTCCGACAACGTCAGCGAGAGTGACAGGCACGATATCTCAGAAGCCATAGCTAGGTGTTGGCAGACCGACTATAGCACTGCTCGGTACCATATCTATGGAGAGCCAGAGTATGCTGGTGTGTATCCGCCACGCGGACTGGATGAGCTGCAGCAGAAATTGGATTTTAAGAGGAGGATTGGAGATGCGGTTACGACGGATGTGATTGAGAAGAGGATACAGGACTTAAGGAAAGAGTCTGTTATTGAGATGGGAGAGATGAGTTATGATCCTTATAGGGTTCTGAGGGGTAATGTGATGGTGGATCCGTTCGCGTTCAATAACTACCACCTTCGAGTACCGGATTTGGGATTCGCTGTCTTTAGGACGCTGGTTTCGACGCGGGGGGTTCGGTTTCTGGAGATGTATCGTGATGCAACGCGCGGAAAGCATAAGGATGGGGATGTGGCATGTTTGGGTGCTGTTGAGGAGGAGTGGATGGAGATGTTTCCGAAGGATGAAAGAGATTGGGTTAGACTGATACTTCATGTGCTGTGGGTAGCGGATCTGGATGATCCAGAGGAGATAGAGGATCCAGAGGATCCAGAGAATCCAGAAGATGAGGTACCAAAGACCAAGCGGAGGTGGAGGATGCTGTTGCGCAGGAGAAAGGTCCGTTAATATGGCTGTCTGTATGTGCGAGTCTTGCAGAGATACGCAACGATCAAAAGATTTTTATCATTGTGAGTACCTAGGTATATTCATTGACCACGACTCGTTATGACCTCGGGACTGATACATGATGATCAGTTGTGAATTGAATGACGTCGCTCTCCGCGCGTGTGAGTTGAGTTGACGAGGGAAGGCATGGGCAGCTAGCGCCGGAACATGCCGACCAAAGTCTTGGCAAAGGACACGCTTACGTCTGTGTCGGCGCAACATTGACAGCTCCGCGTTCACTCTTTCCGAATCAGCAACGATGAGGGTTCTTCAAGGCTTCGTTTCTTCCCTTTTGCTTTCGGGCGCGGCTATCGTCTCCGCAGCTTCCTCATGGAGCTTTGAGGATGCCACGGTGACTATTACCAGCAAAGGTGCTGGTGTTGGCGGAGGTTCAAAGGACAAGTGAGCTCAAACTTGCATTATGTGCAATTATGGCAAGACTAATGAGCATCTAGATTGAGTCCCTCGACACCGCTGGGCAAATCTGTATCGTTGGGCGCAACGGATACTTTGAAGCTTGTCCTCACAACCCTCGATGGAAGCACCGCGAAGCGACCTCACCAAGCATTCCTTACTCTGACGGAACCAACGACGGGCTTGGAGGAGTCTTTCGTATTCAATGTCAAGGACAGCGGCAAGGGAAAGGTTGATTTGGTATGTCGTACATCTCAATGGCTGCCAGCACAGCTAACACATCCAGTCTCACAAGGACCTACCCCACCAATTCCTTACATCCGAGAAACCAATCGTCGCATCGATTGTCCTTGGATCATTCGGTTCCTCCGCGCCATACAAGAGCAAAGCGTTCGACCTCGCCGTCACCCGTGACCCCAGCGTCCCTCTCAGCGTCCCCGAGCCGCCCGTCCGCTACGCCGCCGAGTCCGAGATCCACCACATCTTCAAAGAGGATGCTAAGTCTCCACCTAAGATCATAACGATTGTGTTCGCGGCTGCTGTTGCTGCTGCGCTGCCCATTCTTCTCGGTGTATGGGCTACACTGGGCGCGAACACCAGCCACCTGAGCAAGGCTCTGGGCAACGCACCCGTGTCGCACGGGCTGTTTTATGGCTCTATCCTGGCGATGGAGGGCATTTTCTTCCTGTACTACACCAGCTGGAACCTCTTCCAGACTTTGCCGGCTGCTGCCGTTGTAGGAGTTGTTGCTTTCCTGAGCGGTAGCCGGGCCTTGTCTGAGGTCCAGGAACGGAGGCTCGCTGGGCAAAGATAAACAATACGGAGACTGGAGTATGTACTTGTACGACATGAGAGGTTATACCAGAAGTCGAAGAGCAAAAAAAGTTGGTTTTCGAGGCAAGGCGATGAGGGCGAAGGCACCATAGCATATAGGATACGGGTATGATTAAATCCGAGAACATGAAGAATGATTGCCGTCGCAACGATTGTTCGATATCCAGGCGATGAGTAATGTATTCACCTTCATGTTGGTGTTGTTTCAAGCTTGTGCAACATGATTCTGGTACACAAAGAACCTCTGGGGGCTACAAAAATGTGATGGATGCGATTGGCTGAGATTGATACGTTTTGCAGCACACCTCGATGGAAGGCGCAGTCCGGCTCAGCCGCAACTTGGCTCGCGCCTGCACTAATCAACTGCGATGACCGACACGAAGTTCCTTCTACTCCTTGTCATGCTTATTCCAGCAGCAACCCGGGTTTCGCACCATGACATCCTCTTCACCGCACGATCTCGGAGGAACTGGCACTGATTCCAGTTATTCTACTATCCATTCTAACTACGTTGTTGGCGTCTCAGATACTGAGAGCGATTTATCGGACGGAAATGGTAGCCTTGTCGACAAGGCCGGAGTAGTAGATCATGGTCGGATCACTATTGAAGACTGGTCACAGACTGGGAGAGGTATCCATGTTGATTTTGATGATAGGGAAACGGTACCTCTGACACAAGGTATGCTTTGTACAAAGTTCTGCAAACTAGCAGTCCGGAGCTGATCATGACCAATATAAGGCCAATTTCTGGGCCGAGGTGCCACAGGAGATGTCCACGAAACTACTGTACAGGGATGGAAGCTTGCACACAAGAAGATATACTTCACCCGAAGAGTGAAAGAGATCGAGAAGAAGGAGATATCAATCCTTACGAAACTGGTCCACGTTCATATCACACAGTTAATTGGCACATATACCCAGAAAAAGATATTGGGCGTGCTTATGTATCCAGTGGCAGTGTGCGATCTGCATACGTTTTTTGAAGACGTTGAGGCATGGTCAAACGTAGCTCCTACAGAGAAGCAGCCCGGATTAGAAGCGGATTCCATGGATCATATCCATAGATCGCGACTCGAAGAGCTCGGCTACAATTTTCCCGCAAAAACCGAACAGCACAAAGCTGAACTGGTATACTCGAAAATAGGCTGCTTGATCTCAGCCGTTGCATACTTGCACGACCAGAAAATTCGTCATAAGGACCTTAAGCCTTGCAACGTCTTGTTGTCCAGTGAAAAAATCTGGTTAAGCGATTTTGGAAGCGCTACGGACTTCACGCTCCTTTCGCAGAGTGCTACAAACAACGAACGCGGAACACCGCGCTACTTTGCTCCAGAGTGAGTTTCAACCCCAGCATTAACAGCGTAACACTAACATGAACTACAGAGTTGCCGACTGGAAGCCTAGTGGAAGAGCAGCGGATATGTTTTCCCTTGGATGCGTCCTTGTCGAAATACTGTGCTTGCACCGACGTGGTTCACTAGACCAGATAAGGAAGAATCGATCGGCCGATCCGTCCTTTCATGCCAACATCGGCGAATTGTCCTCATGGCTGCAAAACCGCGACGACAAGTTTTCACGCGAAGTGTATTACCTTGAAGGCGAGATCAGGCTCATGCTTGCCGTGAATCCCGCAGAGCGACCAACAGCATCGGAGCTTTTGAGTAGTGTCACATTCTACGATATGTATGGGCATGAAACTCCGGCATCCACTATTTTTGGTAGTTGCTGCAAGAGAAAGTTCATTTCCTCCAAAGAACATACAGCAGTAATTGAAGAGTTGCAGCAGATAAATAAGAAGCTGGAGAAAGACAACGAAAGGAGATTCAAAAAGACAGTACGAGCACATTTGGCTTCGTTGACGGATATCAGAAAGGCTCACAACGCCGAGACTTATCAGCTGCAAAGTCGATTCCGGGATGATCTCATCGAGAACTCTACTAAATACGAAGTGCAGTTAGACGATTTAAGGGCAGAGGTAGAAGCTTTGCGGGAAGAGAAACGTACTCCGAGAAGACGATCTGATAAACCGCTACTCGACAGGCGATTTCCACCTGTATCCAGCTCACCAATTTCGAACAACCCACCCCCTCAAAAAGAGAGGCCCCTATTCGCTGCTCGGTGGCCAGCAGGGTCCTTCTCCTCCAATCGTGTTGAAGTGGATGACGAAGATCAGTATAGCTCAAACTCTGCAGAAACTTCTCAGTGTGTAGGCAGAAGCACGACCCCAGTGCCGAAGTCTTTCCATGATCCCATCACTAAGGAGATGATCTCTGACACATTGAGGCGAGTACCGACTGTAGTTCTGCGTAGCCCAATGCCGACGGCTTTGAGCGCAGAAATTGTTCGAGAAACTACCGGCCCATATGAAGAAGAGGATGTTTCTGATGACGACCAGAAACCAGCAAAACCATCACTTCGTCGTCGTATTGCTTCCGGACTCGGAATTAAAAGATCTGGAACAAACCATGACAACGTTGATGCGATGGGTAGGCTCGGGTGACGGACCAAAACCCAAGACATGCAGAGATGGATTTGCCACGTTAACATTACTCAAATCGATTTATGGGTGCTTCATAAAAAAAGGTCTCTCTACTAAACCCAATTCAACAATCCATCGACATTCTCCCGTCCCACAACACCCTCGTCGACCATCTGCTCCAAAACCCTCGGTACATCCGCAGTCCTACCCTTCCAAGTATCCTTCGTCATCTCCGAACCACCCGCCACCGCCTTCAGTATCTCAGCCACAACCGCTTTGGCATCCGCCGTGCTCCGCACTACGAGCACACCAGCTTTCTCCGCATAGCTCCTCCCACCTCGGTAGAAGACGCCAGCATTAGAAACCAGAGTCGGTCCGCTCTTCACCCAAGCAGGCTTTGCGCCCTCTAAGAGCGAGATGCGGAAGCGGAAGAGATCGGTGTCGCCCCTTGCTATGAAGACATCGGCCAGTCGTGACGGGGACAGGATGGAGGTATAGGGTGCGCCGGATAGTTTGGTGAGCAGGTTTTGGGTCTGAGTGAGAGCCGTCCATTGAATTTCGACGTCTGTGCTGAATGTGGGTTCCAATGGGGTATATTGGGCTCCATCTGCCAGTGCGGAAGCAAGATCCATGAGCGCATCCGCATATGCGGACTGTACGTTGATTGCTGCGAGATCGGGACTTGCACTTTGCGTCGCGGTTTGTACTAGACTGCTGAATATCTGCTCTACAGTCCCTGCGTACTCTGTCGATGTTGTCCTGCCACTGCGGTATTGCATCTCCGCAACGCTAGCTTGGAAGTTGGCAGCCGCGAGTATTGCATCGTCTTTGGGTGTTGTGGTTGCTTCTTCTGGCGCGGATATAGAGAGTGTAGGGCCTGCTTTGGGCTCATCGTCGGGTTTCGGAGCGGGCGATTTCTCGATGAGGTCTATGAGTGTTGGGATCTTGTTTGTAGCTGTATCTATCCCGTACTGTGCTTTCTTCTCTATACTTGATAGATCTGTAGCGGGGTTATAGAGACCCAGTAATGTCGTGAGGGTACTGAGTTGTGCTGTGCAGGTTTCCAAGATGCTTGTTGGTGTCAGCGGCTCTTCAACAGTAGCCCAGTCTCCTAGTGTTTCGGAAGCCCCTGATTCGGTCTCCATGTCTTGTTCCTGGGTCTCCGCTGGCTGTTGACGTTCGCCCTCCCAAGCCTCCTTGTACTCTCCTGAGGCCTCGATCTTGGCAATCTCAGCCTGCATCTGAGAGTACTCTTGCTGCTGGCTCTCTAAGCATTTTGTGAGGATATCAAACGCCTCCTCAAGCAACGGTCTCGCGTCCTGCTTTCCGGCTGCTGGTGAGCTGCCTTCCAAACCTGCCTCTGCTAATGAGGTAAGTACTTGCGCAGCGTTGAAAAGAATGTCGGTATTTGTGGGGTTTAGTGAGATGGCGTAGCGATGCGACATCAAAGTCTCCTCTAACAGCGCAGTCCTGTTCCCGAAATGTGAGATGATGCGCTCATCTTCTGAGATGGTGTATTGTAGGTTCGCTCTAGTACCATTAGCATTGAGTGAACAAGCAGGCACCGCGACGACTCACTTGTTGTAGGCAAGATCGAATGATTGAGGATGACGCTTTAGGCCCTCATTATACGCATCTATCGCTCGGTTAAAGAAGCGAACAGCCTTCGCTGCGTCTCCTGCGCGCCATTTCCCTGCCGCCTGTTCGAATTCGTCCGCAGCTTCGAGGAAGTCGTTCTCAGTCTTCGGCTCCGGCGGCTTCACCTTGCCCTTTGGCTTCGGCTTTAAGAATTTCTTCGGCGGCATACTGATGATCGGATGTAGTAGTGAAAAAGTTGATACAGCGGTAATCTAGAAAGTGGTGTTGTTGTAAACTCAGGTATGCGCAGGTAACCGATGTTCAAGTGGCAAATTTGCGCAATTGCGCCTGACGATTGCTAAGCAATTGTAGTGTAGTGCGCAGAAGACGACTTCCAAGGTTGTGCGCAAGCCTTGATATAACAGCACCTGCTACCAGTGCATTCCTTCCCGACGTGTTGGCTGCACCAAGACTTTCTGATTGATCGCCCCGCCCCCACTTTCCTCAGCCTCACGAACGCGACTCTCCACGCTTCCATCACAATTACTTCAACTTTTCCACGTCAAAATCATCCCACAGCAATGTCTTATCGACCAAGAATCCATCTGCATTGAACGAGACCCCTTCTTCATTCAGCAGCTGCAGCTTCGAATCCTGGTTCTGGCCGCTGGGTGCTTTCTCCCAGTCACCCTTGTATCCGCCAACGAACTGTTAAATCAGTACTGAAACTCTCACACGGATAACGACACACGTACACCAGTACTGGCGATACACCGATGGCATGGTACCTCTGGACAGAACGGGTTGACGCGCAGCGCACCACCCACCGCGCGAGGAGAGCTGTTCAAAGCCTTTGAGATGGCGGCATACGTCGTGACGCGACCCTCTGGGATCATCTGGAGGGCTGTATAAACGCGCTCTTGATATTGAGTAACCTTCTGCTGTTTCGACATGTTGACAGTTGAGATGCGGTTGCATCGACGCGTCCTCCAGCGAAGTTGATTTGGCGCGCGATCACGTGACGTGCTCTCAAATTGACCAACCAAGTGTCAGGATATGTCAGCTACCCTTTATCATGTGTGCTACAGATCTTTGAAGCAGAAGAGATGGCGAAAGCAGGCGGCAATTGCAGCAAGCTTGCAACACAGCAAACCTCCTCGCCTCAGAAGGCTCCGCCGGAAGCTCTTGTGAACACTGCAAAATGAGCGGAGGTGTGTCGAAGCGTACTCTAGAAAAAAGAAAAGAGATCTAAGGAAACAAATGCCCATGGGACGCATCACGCGCATACCAGAGAATGGTACTACAGGTCATATCCTTGGCTGTTGTCTCAGTGCCTACGATCGCTCGCAATACGACCAAGGAAGTCCCCGTCACATCCCGGACTTCCAGCTCTCCAAGACACTTTCCGTGATCAAGAGACACAAAAGATACGCAATGAGTCAACGCCGGAATCGGAGCCTTTTCTGAGGATGATGTAGGGCAGACGAACGAAATGTGTGGACTCACCCATGTGATCGGCCTCCTCACTTCGCACAACACACTTCAAAAGGATACACGCCCGATGAACTGCGACTAGCAGCGTTGCGAGGCGTTAATACTAAGAGTCACACTCGCCGACTGCCCTTTGGTCTCACAAGTGTCTCCGAACGGCTCAACGACCAGCCCGGTCCAGTATCTTTAAGTTTCGCACTAGACAATCATCATCACTCTCGCACGGTCACTTCACAACGACTTGCTCAAGATTGGTACCGCAGCGGGCCGAGCTCCACTACAGCTCACAGGGCTATACAGCGCTTACGCCAGATGATTCGCAGAGGTTGAAGTGACCGCGCCGTGCCGCCCTCCCTTACCTTCTCTGCTCGATTCAACTAACGGGTGCGGCCAGAGCATGAACCTGGACGGGGTCACCATCGCTGATGGGCCCGCAGTGGTCACTGCCTTACAAACGCAGATTGTCACCGAAATATGTCATATCTTTGATCAGTCGGCGGCTATCAAAAGCTAGTGTTTGGATCGCAACCAGCAGCCTAAGTGACTAGGACGGACCTAGAAGTCAGGCATTGCGACATCAGAAACTAGTAACGTCAAACTATGTCTGGCACTGAATCGGTTTTGGCCAGATGTTCTAGACTCGACGACGCTGACGTATGTGTTGAGGTATGCAATATCTCTTTGGGTCCACCAACAACACTACGACAGCCCTTCAGGTGAAGGTGAACAGGATTGTAACATCCATGCTGATTACGATCATCGGAAAATCACATCGGTCAAGCTTCGTGTCGCAATCATGGATGGGTAAGTGGTTTGCGCGGATGAGGCCTCTGAACCCCCTGCTTGTAGCCGCTGCAAGTGACAGTGTTGAAAGCCGGATTCCATCTCTCATTGGCAGTCGTCCTTCACCAGACTCTTCTCTATTCAGTAAGGCGTCGTCACATGACCGTCAAGTGCGGTGGCTACCCGTTTTTCTCACATTTCTCACATTGCTGGCGTGCGAATGAGCGTGCAGAACAGGGATCACCAGGTGTAGTGGGCTTAAGCGCGACCTGGGCAGTGGGACATGGCCGACAGAAAGCGGCCCTGCCCCCGAATCGTGGATGAGACCGTTGCGATTAGCAGAAGAGGATATTTTCGCCATCGTAGAGAAAGGTCAAGTTGTAATGATCTTGATGGCTCGCGACCTACGAGGCTTTTGATGCGTTGTCAAAGTGGCGAGGGCGATCGGCTGCTCAGCCTCAAACTAAGAGCCGAGTTGATGCACTTAGCCACATCTCAGCTTGCCAGAAACGGGCCTTCCGGCTGGACGGCATAATGCCACAACCCCAGAAGCGCATCTGCAGGATTTTTCGCCAATGCATGAAAGTGGTCACGAGAATAGCAACAAGAGTTGCAGGAACCGTTGGACGTGCATTCGCGAAAATCGCTCAGAGCAGCATATGACTCTTCTGCATGGGCAAGCCGCCTGTTGCCCTGCGGGTCCTGATTGAACAGTCAGACAACCCTCGACGGTAAAAGGCTTCTCAACGAATGTGCGTTCTGTCCTGTTCAAGACAGGTGCATGCGAGCTCCGGGTGCCTGTATCGGTCCTTTTCGAGTGCGATAGAGTATTCGATGGCTGATCATCGCGTGCTTTGGAACAGCTGAGGATAGTTGGAGGCATACTATTGCAGCTGGAAGCGCAGTTTTGCAAACGAGTATCGTCGCGACTTGACGGGCGCACATATAGGCCTCTCGCTAAGCTTGCAGCCTCAGCTTCTCATGATGCCAGCCCTGTCACGAGACGAGCGTGAAAAATTGATAGCAAACACGAGGCTTCTGGTAAGGGTTGCTGAGTATCTGAAACGGCATCAAGTTGGTGGGTAAACGACGAGTAGGGGTAACCTGACAGCCAATTGGGCATTCCGCTTGGCTGGCGCCGCACAAGGTCTGTCTACGAATCGTCACCCACCATGGCCATCCAGCAACTCAACTGGCTGCCTTCTTTCATCAAGCCAGAGGCCTCCACCCGCCTATCCAAGCGCAAGCGCCCGTAATAGCCCACCATGTCTCCGTGCCGGACAAGCCCAACTTCGCAAGGCCGCCGGCGCCGGTTCTTTGCGATCAAGTCTACGCGTCGTGATGCGTCCGTCGCGACGTTGTACATATGCAAGCCTACGCACCCCGCAACCGCAACAAGCGTCGAATCGCTCCTAACCAACAGATTGCGACGTTGAGCCTGCCAGAAACACTACACTATCGCATCAGCCAGGCCTACCTCGTTTGAGCATCTGGACTGGTCCTCCGTTCTCGACACGGCTCACCCGCGAAAGCCCCACTGAGGCGACTTAGGGTGCAAGCCCCGCGCTTGGACAGTCGACCCTGAGGTAGGAATAGACGGGACGCGCGAGTTGCCGTTGAAAGCACGAGTATAATATCACTCGTCGTCTCGTTGCTCCTTGTACGCATCGTTGTCGATTTTCCTGGTCCCAACTGCGAATCCCTGCACAGCCCCATCTCGGGCTTTGCCGCTGCGCCACACCCTACGATCTCGGTCCCGCCGATAGATGTGGCACACGAGAAAGAGTCGCAACAACTCACCGTAACTCTGCACGGGGACGTAGGACTGCATGTACCTTGTGGCTGGATGACTTATATTCATGGACTTGCAAACTCACGTCTTTGTAATATTTCCGAATCGCCACCTCCGTCCCGTTACTCTAGCCTTCCCGCCATCAGCCGCTCGTACATCACGGCTTCCCGAGCTGAAACTGCTGACGGTCCCAAACCTTCGACTGTCAGGTTACCCCACGTCAAAGCCTTCGATTTCAAGGGTCTCATAGGTGGATAAGCACATGCTTTCATGAATCTCTCGGCATACACAGGGTTCCGTTGCACATCTACCCGGGCTACACAAGGTTACCCAAAATGGCTTCCTATAAGTCACACTACCCTCCCCCAAGGAGGACAGAGGACCGGGCGCCAACTACTCGGTTGCCTCAACGATCTGTCACCCCTACCACAACCACCTCACAACTACCCACCCCAGGCCAATCTAAACTGCAAAAGAGGAGGCCTTCAAAGGACGAAGAAGTAAACGCCAAAGTCTCGACGAGTCAACAAGGTCCCGCACAAGCACTTAGCTCGCGTCAAAGGAAAACCAGCCGGTCTACGCCTATGTTCCCTCAACACCCGAGTATCGCAAACTCAAAACCCTCACAACAAACATCGACTTCCCGGTTACCAAAGCTTGAAGTTCCTCCAAGCATACGCACACCCTCGCTCGCCTCAGGCTCTTCTGCCTCAACCATCGAGAGTCCTCGTTCGAATGTGCTCAGAAGGAAACAAACAAGTGTTGGGTCTGCAACTGGCAGGCAGGTTACGCGTATAAGAGACGGCTCAATTTCATCCCAAGATGATAGGCAATTAATGGAGGGAATACCCGGAGGATACAAGGATCCTTTCTCTGAGACAGTTCTGGGCATTTCGATACCGCCATCATCCAACATCTTCGCTCGTTCAGAGGCTCAGGTCGATTCCTATAGTAACCCACTCTACGACTATGAGATCGGCCCTACAGACATACTTCCTCTCCCAACACCGCAGTATGCACTCTCAGCGACGCCTTCGTCTCGCTACACGGATTCCCCTGGACCTTTCAGTGTCTCATCAACTCCTACGTCGATGTCGTCTTACTCTCCCGGTACAACGCTATCGAGAGCCTCGAATCGAACACGGCAGGCGAGCCCTCTGCAGAGTAGACCGCCAGTCACCCGACACAAGACTCCGGACGAAGTCAGCACTCGTCATCCCCACACACTCTCCACCGTCAGAGAGTCTTCCACCTCATCATCAGCAGCATCCACCGTTGTTACTGATGGCGCGAAACACAAGGACGTCCAGTCACCTAACGGTCTCGCCACTCTGCCACAGAGTCCTCGGACGTCTGATGTGATTCCAAGAGCAGAAGAACGACCTCGCATGCAGGCGCCCCCGGAGTTCGCTCATCTCGCCGATCAGTCGCCCGCGTCAATGCCAACATCAAGGCGACCGTCAAGACCCAGCAGAGATGGTACACCAGAATTATCGGGGCTCCGTGGCCCATCCCCAATCATCCAGAGCAATATTCTCAACTTCCCATCTCAGCACAAAAGAACCGCTTCATCGGAATCTAGGAATGGACTTACTGCTGGAAGATCTAAAATTAGCATTCCAGCCAAATCTTCTTCCCGAAATCCCTCGCCCAATCCTTCTTCAACATTGCCAGCAGCTACCAGAGCCCCAGTTCGTGGACCGACACCCGACGTTCAGCAAGATCGAAAGCCACGACGGACCAGCACCGGACCAGCACCAGCACCAGCGCCCGCTCCAAGCCCAAGTAAAACCTCTAGATTTGGGTTCTTCACGCGTCGTACCAAGACTGAGCCTACCCTAACAGCGAAATCTGAGAGCAAGCTTCACAGAAGAGGGCCAGCTGCAGGCACCGGCCACGAAGGCTATGGGAGATACGCAGTGAGAGGTCGAAGTGGAAGCTCAGTCAGTACAAACAGCATTGGCCGATCCGCCAGCGCCGGGACTACTTCTGAGAGCCTGGACAAAACCCCCTCAACTCGCAAGAGCAGCATGACTAGCACGACCAGCGGCGAGATGGACGACTTCTTCCTCAATCGCCTCGCTCCTGTCGTCATCAGAGGTACCGGCACTAGCTCGGAGCTGTCTCGAAGCCCCGAACCAATGCACTCCACTAGCAGTCTAGACGTCTCAGTTGGTCATGGATTGGAACTGAACAAGACAGTGAGCAACACATCTCAATCAGCCCTTGAGAAGAACCGACCAACATTGCTGCCTTCTGCTATGCCGGACAGTTCACGCAATGGATCCCCGATGAAGAAGATGACTATGGGATTGCGAAGACCTTCCGAGAGTGATGACGATACCAAGAGATCCTTCCTACCCTCCATGGCCTCGAAACGGACGTCACGAGCTCTACAAAGCGCACAGGGCCCTAGCGCACCGTCAGGATCGAACAGCCGGATCACTGGGAAGATCCGCAAGAACTCGATAAGCGAGACAGCCGCTGATATCAAAGAGGGCTCTTGGTTGAAGTCGTCCAAGAAAGGCAAGGCCGAGAAGGAGGCGCCCAAGCCTTCAAAAAGATGGAACTTCTTTCAACGTGCCCATGCCGGACCACGCGCCCCAACACCAGCTGCTCCTACCGCCAGCCCTTCCAACCAAGCAACTGTTTCTCGATCCGTCGCACACTACGCGTTGATGGACCAGTCCGGGCTTGAATTGGACGACATTGAGCAGTTGATGCAGGAGGTCGATGAGGGGACTGAGAGCGCCCTCTCCGATGACGAACCAGGAAGGAAAGAGCGAATGCAGTCCATGCTTCTCCCACCTAAACCAGTGTTGCCATCTACCCTGACAGCACCCCGCTCGGCTTCGCCCAAGGTCTTTCTACGCTCTGAAGCACAACAACAACCGGAACAGCAACAGAGCAAGTTGAGTATCGACACGAATGTTCGATCGGTTTCCCGCAACTCTGAGCGTTACTCGCTGGGTGACCTCACCCCCGTTACGGACCTTTCTCGACCTTCATCACCATTCCATGAACCTTCGCCGATGCGCGATGAAGGCTCTGCGCCGCCACTGGATGTAGCAGTTCCCCCTCGCATGCCCGAGCCTGAACAAGAGTCAGTTCACGATGCACCCGCGGAAGAAGAGTTCGTCCTCCCTCAGGATCTTCCATCGCCTGGCCCGCCGCCTACAAGCCCACCCCCTCGACCAAGTCGCTTGGCGCAAGTTGGTCGTATCCCTCAGGTTGTCTCTAGTCGTCGCCAAGCACCTCGCCCGTCTTCACGTTCATTCTCTCGTCCTTTTGCGTCGAACCAACCTCGTCCAGCAGCTCCTCCGCGAACGTCTTTCGATTCCATCGGATCTGTTGTCGCAACTGCTGGTCCGGTGGAGCCATATCCTATTCTGCACGGTCTAACCGCTCTGACCCATGGATCGGCTATTGCTACCATCAGCCCTATGGAAGATGAAGCCAACCGCCGAAGCGAGTTCTTCAAGTTCCCACCTCGTAAAGACTCCGAGGTATCCTACTCAAGTAGCTCAGGTATCTGGAGCTTTGCACCCGCTGCCGGTACTGCTGTCGTGCCCAGTCCTAGCGCGCCTCTGTCAGATGATGAACTTTGGAACGAGTATGACGACCTGATCGACCAGGTGCTCTCGCCTGTCACCTCTCGCACGAAGGAAGAGAACAATAGCCTTCGCAGTCACCCTTCTCTCGAGCCAATGCCCTTGAGACCCAAAGCGCCACGCAACATTTCAGGATCAGAGAACGATGAGGTTGCCAATCCCTCACTTCATCTTCGTCGCTCTCGTCTGCTTGCTGTTCTACACTCAACACAGTCACCCACTTCGTCGATCTCTTTCTCGGAATTCATCTCTGACTACGGCGAGCGCAAGATCAGCGTCATTGACCCTGTTACCGGCAGACTGAGCTTGCCTTCTAGTCCTCAGCTATCGGCTGGGACTGCCACAAAGCGTTCAACTCGCTCCAGTCTCCCAGCCTCGTTGTCGCAGAGTGCTCGACAGTCCAAAGCCACCATTGCTTCAAGGTCCAGCAAAGACCGCGACAGTGCCAGCACAACCCATTACCGCGACACGCGTATGATGGACATTGCCGAAAGCCAGGCGGACGGGCTCTTGTCGATGGCAAACCTTCGATTTGGCGCTCTCATGACAAGCAAGTGGCTCTCGTTCGGACGCGTCTTGTTCAGCCCCGTCCACTTTGAATTGAAAGACCCAAGCGAGGACCGCGTACTTGTCATCGATGGTCTTGGCAAAGACTGGTCTTACTACTGCGCACTCACATACCCTGAAGCGACTGTCTATGACATGGGCCCCGATCCATCACCCACTGCATCAACCGAGGGCGCTTCTGAGCCCTTGTCAACACTCAGCAACCACCGTCACATCTACCACCCCTCCCTCGGCAAGGCTTTCCCGTTTCCCATGCACTTCTTCGCCTGCGTCGTGCTTCGCTTTCCGACTGCACTTCCCTCATCGGAACACCGCTTCATCCTTTCTGAAGCCAAGCGCGTCCTTAGACCTGGTGGTTACCTTGAGTTCTCAGTCCTTGACATGGACCTGGTCAACATGGGCAACCGCGCTCGTCGCGCTGTCCGTGGGCTCAAAATGAGGATGCAAGTAGCAGATGAGAGCATTTCGCTTCGCAACATCAGTGACGAAGTCATGGCTGGTATCGGGCGCAAGGGTTTTGTTGAGTGCAATCGTTGCGTTGTTGGTGTTCCGGTTGCCGGCAAGCTCCCCAACCTCGATGACGTCAAGCAGAACATCACGAAGAGGAAGGGCAGCACGGCCAGCTCTTCCAGCAAGACAAACAACATGCCTGCACCAAAAGGACCCAAGCCTGAAGTATCCTTCTCCGATTTGCTCAACGCCACCTCGTCCTCCGAGTCAAACGATACTGGCATCACCGATATGGTGGCGCGCGTAGGCAGATGGTGGTACTCTCGCTGCTACGAGTCGCTCGTCCTTCCCGAAGCCGGCCAACCTGGCGCCGCTACTTCCGGCAACCTTCTAGAGACCAGTATCTGGCGCGATCAAAGCCTCATCAACGAGTGCGAGAAGCGCGGAACTAGCTTCAAACTCCTCATCGGCTACGCGAAGAAGCCCGAGGTAGGCGTCCGACGAACCGTCAGCGTCTAAACATCTTCAATTCTTCCGAGCTGCGCTCTCAAAGTCCTGGCGGCTATTTCCTTCACTACTACTCATAATGAGTTTCTTGTATTTATGGGTTTCACTGGCGTTCTGCTGCGTTCAAGCGTTTGACTTTCCCTTATACCCTCGTTCTGTTCTTCTTTCACTCAGCTTGCATAGCAAAATGGCGGCTTAGCATTACAACAACAACTACAAAGAACGGCGCAAGCCTGGACGCATCATCACGACAACGACACGCACACATCTATGTAATATCTTCTTCGACTGGGTTGGTACATGCTGGCATTGTGTAGAACAAGAAGAGAAAGATGTGATGATTGTTCTATGTAAGAGGGAGGAAGCCCTGTATATATACTACTAGGGCGACGCTAGTGAGTGAATCACGTGATAGGATCCTAACCAACACATTGGACAACATTCGGGAGGAATTGAAAGTGAAGGGTGGATTGGTGGAAATAATACCCAGGGATGTCGATATGATATGAAGCGCTATGTAGATACGAAATCACGGTCGCTGATCAATACGAAGAATGAACACTATCCAAGCTTTACATCTCATATATAACTATCAGCGACTATGTCGACGCTGCCTGCAATGGTGTTAGCTCAGTGCTGAGGATGACATCAAAGAATGATATACACTTCTTAACTCCGCGCACTCATCGCTAGGATTAACAGGTACAAAGATTTACACACTACCTATGGGATCTCCAGTAATAGCGATCGCAGTTATACGAAGGCCGAGCCCTTCCCAAAACCCCTGACCCCCGAATCCCAGGGAATCACACTGCACAGGACGTATGCAATGAAGGAATGCGGCCCACGTTCTCGATTAGAGGAGGGGTAATGTTGATCTTCGTCTGCAGCATTGTGACGTGCTGAAATGCACTTACCCGAAAGCTCTTGGTCAATGCTGTCCATTCTCGGACAATCGTGTCGCTTACAGAAGGAGCCCTGAAGGTGTTTTGGGGTTGTTGATGCACTAGCGGGTGAGCTAGTACCCGCACTCCGCTGATCACATCCACACCTCCAGGGCTGCGACCAGCGGATGATCCGCACGGCAGCAAGCAGGCTGATTCCGCCTCACCCGCAGAGAGATTGACTAGAGCGGACTGCCACGTTTTGTCAGAAGGTGACATCGTGCAACGAATGCGCATTTCTCAGCTTGGCCAGGTTGCCGGCCCGCGCTGATCAGATTGCGCATCTACCCTGACCATCTTCCAGTCTTCATCTTTGAGAGCTTCATAAGCGATAGGGTGAATAGCGGGTACCATTCGAGTAGTGCGATTCGTAGCACTGCAAACCTGCTCCAGCCGCAGCTATGAACAGCTAGACCGCCGGGAATGTCTACCTAGGGAGGTCATAACAAGAGAACATGATTCCACGTCAAAACGACACGGATGCAGACTACCCCAACATCGGACTGATTCACTAGTGCCGGCCAGCCCGAACAACACTCCGGCAACTGTGCTGTCCCTTCGCTTATGGTTGCTTTTTCCTCTCAAGGTTTCTATCCACATCGGGGAGATCTACCGACATTACCGCATCCGCCATGACTCGAGTTACCCTCAGAATCATTCTCCAATCCGTGGTCTGACATCATCTGCAAATGCAAGCACATGCGTCTATGACAAGAGCTACGAGATACGCCTCCTTCAGGCTTGGCTCGGTTCCAGTCCCGCCGCGCCATCGCCAATGAGTTCCGTACATATGCCGAATGCCTCAATTTTAAGTTTACGATTCGACCAATCTCTTGAGCTACACAGCGATGGTGAAATCAACCTCAGCTTGTTCAATCAGTACCTCGAACTTCGATGTTCTACATTCGCTACTCAGGTGCACTTACGCAGTGTGATTCTCCACTTTCCACATAATTGGAGCCGACAGACAGGGTCGTGGCAGCGTCTTCAGCTGGCTTCCTGACTCTTTGTCTTGATCTGCGATGGGATTCGCACCGAACGGACCACTGTTACGGTGACTCGGCGAAGTGTTGGTAGCACATTATTGTTCTGGGTTCGCTGTTTCCAAAGACTTATTGCTACATAAAGCATCACTTTTCCCGTGACAATACAAAAACATATCTGAGAGCACTTCTGCACTGCACCCTATATTGTACTGTACACAACAATTCTTCAACCTTTCTCAATCTATTCACCAACAATGTCTTCAAACGACGTTAACAAGTCATTCTGGCTTGCTTACTGCGATGCCATCCGAACTCAGCTTGGAGATGATGCCGGCAACAATGCCGCCTACTTCTTTAGCACTAAACCTCAACGTGCACCACTTGCTGGACCTCCCAATCTGATTGATCCAAAGTACACCAACCAGGGGCTGTATGAGATTTGCGACAGTCAATTGCACACCGACAATCTATTCTACGACCCGTCTGAGAAGAAGTCATTCTCCCGTACGCTTCTGAAGTACATGGACCACGTTGATCTGGTAAGCAATACCATCGCCCACATAGCAGGAAAAAAATGCTGATTGGCAAAATTAGGGCGGTAATCCAAGTTCCGCCCAAATGCAAAAATTGCACGCAGCAGTCATGAACCAAGACGCAGCAAGACATGCTCTGGATGATGCCACAGAAAAGGCCAAAGCACGATGGGAGAAGTACAAGAGTAACTACTCTGTTTCCGATGAGACCTTTTCTACCTGGAGCGTGCAGAATGAACCACAACTCCATGCAATGACGGCGAACTATAACATGGCGGTAAACGCAACCAACATGGCAACAATGCATGCCTATGGCCCCAGTGCAGGACCGTACTTACAGGACAAACAACATATGCAAGCTGCTGTTGATCCCCAGTCGCGCCCAGGGTAAGCTGAATAGTGTTCATGACAATGGTCCAAGATCTGACAGCTGGTCCAGCATCAACATGCCCGTCACCGCCCTTGGTGCCTCGGATGCCGACGCCATACTACAGCAGATCACGGCCAACAAAGCTGTGGCACCATCCAATGCCGACTACCATGTTCCATTCTACTCTGCTGCGAACTACCTTGAGCAGGTGATGGATTGGTTGAGGAATCGGGGCGATACCAACAAGTCGCGCAGTGAAGTGTCTTTCGACTTCGACACAGGAAACAGCGTTGATGAGAACAGCTTCAGCCACACGAATGGAGGCGGTGATCACTATGTGCCTTGGCTCTCTCTAGGTGTCAACGATGACCGGTGCGAGGAGAGCTCCATGACCAGCTACGGAGATCAACTCCACACTACAATCACCATGTCTTGGGACGATCAATTCCGCGCGATTGACATTCAATCGGGAAGGTGGTACGTGCACATCCCTTCCCTCCATCCCTTCTCAACATATTATCTAGACAGTTGCTTACTCAGGAAACAGGGACATCCGCGGCAGCTCTACCTACAAACTCAAGAGCGACGCCCCAGACGAAGTCAAGGGATTGGCCCGCGTCGTGAAGTTCGTCGTCGTCTCGAACCTAGCCTTCGAAATCGAATTCTCTGGCGACACGACCACAGAATTTCACAGTCATGTTGGAAGCGGCGGGACCATCCGCCTCTTTGGTATTCCCGTTGCCGTCAACAGGGACGCGGACGGAGAGAGTGACATTACCCACACGGCTGATTGGTACCCCGATGAGGGGAAGCTGTCTGTCACGCCTAAGCCTGAAGCGGGTTTCGCTAGTGTTGTTGCACTTGTTGGAGAGAAGGTCTGATGAGTTGACGCGAGAGTTGAGACAATGGACGGGTGTAATAGAGGTGTGGTCGGAGCGCTGGCTGCTTTCCAAGGTTGTTTGCGAAGTAGTCTAGTTTCTTTCTAGCATCTCACCTGTCATTGCCAAATGTATTATTTGGCTCCTCTTGCATCCAGTTGAGAAAAATAGAGATCTAGTGCATCAATACAGTACGTGGAAAGGATTTGAAGTCATTCCCGAGGTCCCTTCCCCAAGCTTCTTTGGGCGCCAAGTGCACTAAGCCTAATACACACAAGCGCCTCTTGCTAAAACCCCATCCATCAACCAATCACTCCACCCATCTTCAAGCACCTCCACATCTTCACATTAGCCTTACCTATTCTCCAACAGGCACCCTGCAGTCCCTCAAAGTCAGTCTGCCATTAGTGGAAAAGAGTTGGAACGCAGGCAAAAGAGCGGGAAAGCATAGGCAAAGATGAATCAGAACTTCCAGGGTGCGCCCGATCGGGAGGACATTAGGTTGTTGGATCAGCTGCGCAGTCAGTTGATGCCGATGATCAAGGGTATGGAACGGTTGCAGGCCGAGATGCAGTATAAGATGAGTCGGGGCGAGGTCGTAGATTGGTAAGTGAGCGGCTGGTAGTGAGTTCACGTTGGGATGCGGGTGTGTTTGTTATACAGCTTCGCCTCGCGTACGCGTCGTCTGGTTGAACTCTTCGCGTCTCATTTCTTTGCTACGCGCAATAAGATGTCGCTTCTTATCATGTCTTTTTCAAGCCAGCTTTGGAGTGCAGAACTTGGACTATCGCCGTACCCAGCGAGACACGTGCTGACGAGATGCTAGGCCCCAAATCCAACAAACAACCAGGACAGTAACATCCTATCTCAACTCCATCCATCTCCTCATAAACGGCGGCTACCGTCATCAATCCAAGCTTGTAACCCAAAAACATCACATCCCCTCCAAAGATGCCGCCGGCAACCCCATGGTCGACGCCGCAGGCAATGCAGTCCTCGTTGAGCGCGACGTGCGACGGAGAATGACCAGCATACAAGCCCTACCCACCAACACAGCAAAATTCGAGGCACTCCATCCATTTCCCAATCCTTCCTTCCCGATGAATGCCGGAGGCGGCATGGCAGCAGGAATGGCAGGCACGTTGCTACGAAAGAGGCTAGAGCCCATGGAGGAAAGTTGGGTCGAAGAGCGAATCCGAAAAGCATCAGAGTGGTGTTTCGTACCCGAAGAATGGGGTATCACACCAAGGAAGCCAGATGCAACTACCACTGCCGTCACAGAAGACGAAGACGATGAAGATGCCGTGCCTAAGTCGGAACGACTAGACTCTGAAGCTATCCCTACTACCCGCGTCAAAAACGTGCTTTCCGCGGATGAGATTGCTGATCTCTGGAAACATGCGCATCAAGAGGTCTTCGATATCAAGTATCTCAGGCAGAAGTATCCGGCTAGTTACCCGGATCCGGGCGCGCAGGGTGCGGATGACGGTGAGGAAGAAGGCGAGGAAGGCGATGAAGATGAAGAGGAGGAGGAAGAGGAGTTTGAAGATGTTATGGATACGTCTGGGGGACCGGAAACGGAAGAGAAGGATGCTGCGAAACCGAAGGTGGTTAAGAAGAAGGTCACGGTAGGGAAGTTGCCGGTACATGAACCTGTGGATGGGGTGCCGGTGCTTTCGCTTGGGTTTGCGCATAAGTTTGCGGAGATTGGTGAGGTGTAGAGGCACGATGAGGGGCACGGCAGTTTTGATACCATGAGGTTGAGATGAGTGTAAGCATGGTGATAGCGTTCAATCTAATAAAGACGCCTGGGGTATCATGATTCCTGCGCCTGACACCCTAGCCACTAACAGAAGGACTTTCCATACCCCTACTCAGGTCTGAGCGCATACATCCTGACCGGGAACAACTCCCTCGGCATCCCTCTTTGTTGCTCCGTCGCCACGATCTTCAGTCCGGCTTCCTGGAACAGAGCCCTGAACGTCTTATCTGACCGCGTGACGCTCGAGTCTTCATCGTCGTAGATGTCCTTGTGGTGGATATCCGTAGACATGTTCTCCTTGACTACAATCCAGCTCCGGCTTGTCGCATCGCCCTCTGCCTTCTTTAAGCCTTCGCCACACCTCCGCATGTAGACGACGAATTGGGCGTCTGTCAAGTGTCCGACACACCATTGGTTCCAGATCACATCGTATGCGCCCGGCTCTGGTATCCAGTCTTGTAGCCCTAGGTTTATGACTTCTCCCACCTGGCCCTTGCCAGACTTTGCGTCTCCGTCTCCGGCATACTCGCCGTTCCCCAGACTTTGTACCAGCTCATCTGTAAACTTCTTGACTGGCTCTACTATGTCCACTTGTTTACTGACGCCCAACAGCAAGCCTTTCGTTATACGTCCGATGCCCGCGCCACAGTCCGCCACACGCTCCAGAGGCGGTAGCGGCTCTTTAGAACCCTGCGCCTTGCCCCGGCGCAATTTTGTGAGGAAATTTGAAGAACCCTGCAGATCGATGCGCGAAGTTTGGGGAAACCCGCCCAGCATGCCATTGACGTCTGGCGAGACATTATTCCAGTATTCGAGCGAGTGAGCAACGTCTATCGAGGCATCGGGGCGTTCGGCTTCGGGAGTAACGGGCAGGGTCGCTTCTTCCACCATGTCTACGGTGGGGTCTGCGAGGGCGAGAGGGAGCGCGGCGAGAGTCTGCGGCAGTCTGAGTAAGTGGGTTTGTATCTTTGTGGTGCTGCCTCGCGACATTGTGTGACAAACGTTGGATTGCGGCTGGTGTGTAGTCGGTGGGGAGTCTTGGTTTGCGCAGGATCGGGAATAAGAAGATTGTTGGATGCGCGCGCTGGGTTTCTCGTGGTGGTGGTGGGGTAGCGACAGGGCTGTTGCCGACGCTGGACGCCGACGCGTCGCGCGACGACTGCCCAGCCCGCCTCGCCTACTCACATGACGGCACGCGTTGATTCAGCCCGTGGACCTCGGGGACGTGTCGCATCCATAGCCGTGGTTGATAAAGCTGGTGAGAGAGGCCGATACTGGGGAGACGGGCGTCTGAAAGAGGCAGTTGCATGCGGATAAGCTAGGTACGGGCATCGATGGCGGGGTCCACACTATCAAGGGAAGCTACGGCTGTCCCGCGGGTCGTCATCAGCGTCCTACATGTCTGCAGCCTATAGATAGCTAGCTGTCTCCTCGCCGGCCTGGGAGATGTCCTGTCTCTACTCCGCCCTCACTCGCGCTTCACTTCGCTCCAAACCATCTGTTCCCTTTCAAACTTCCATACGCAGAGCTCCTAGAAGTTGTTACCGTCCCTTGTGGAGACACTACAGTACTCAAACCAACATGTCTGACCTCTTTGTTGAGCTTACTGCGCCGAATGGCCGCAAGTACCAGCAGCCGAGAGGTCTCTTCATCAACAATGAATTCGTCAAGTCAAAGTCGGGCGAGACTATCACTTCGATCAACCCGAGGTACGCTTGCTGTCTTGATTGGTAGCTATGACTAAATCTGTACAGTGATGAGAGCGAGATCGTCTCCGTCTATGCCGCTGGACCCGAGGATGTGGACGATGCCGTAGCAGCAGCGCGGAAAGCGTTCAAGAACCCAGACTGGCGAGACATGGACACCAATGCCCGTGCTGACCTTCTCTACAAGTTTGCCCAATTGATCGAAGAACACAAGGAAACTCTGGCCACCATCGAGACATGGGACAACGGCAAGCCCTACTCTGTCTCGCTGAACGACGATCTGGGTGAGGTCGTTGGCACTATCAAGTACTACGCAGGATATGCCAACAAGATCCACGGCACTGTCATTGATACCTCGCCCCTCAAGCTGGCTTACACAGTCCGTGAGCCTCTTGGTGTGTGTGGTCAGATCATTCCATGGAACTTCCCTCTTGCAATGGCGGCGTGGAAGCTAGGACCTGCTCTTTGCACTGGTAACACAGTAGTCTTGAAGGCAGCTGAACAGACACCCCTCTCTATCCTGTATCTCGGAAACCTAGTCAAGGAGGCTGGCTTCCCTCCTGGTGTCATCAACTTCATCAACGGCGAGGGAAGGAAGGCTGGTGCAGCTCTGGCCCAACATCTCGACGTCGATAAGATTGCATTCACAGGATCTACAGCCACAGGAAAGGAGATCATGAAGATGGCAGCTGTCAACATGAAGAATATCACCCTTGAGACAGGTGGTAAATCACCTCTAGTAGTCTTTGACGACGCAGACCTTGATCAAGCAGTCAAGTGGAGTCACGTTGGCATCATGTGAGTCCCATCTACATTGTTCTCCGAACCGAGCTCACACCATGCAGGTACAACCAGGGTCAAGTTTGTACGGCGACATCAAGAATTCTAGTGCAAGAAGGCATCTACGACAAGTTTGTCGAGGCGTTCAAGGAGCACGTGAAGACCACCTCTGTGGTTGGCGATCCCTTCAAAGACGATACATTCCAGGGGCCGCAGGTCACCAAGACGCAGTTCGACCGCGTCTTGTCGTACATCGAGTCTGGCAAATCGGAGGGCGCCACTCTCATCGCAGGTGGAGAAGCGTACAAGAACGCTGGTGGCAAGGGCTTCTTCGTGTCACCCACCATCTTCACAAACGTCAAGGATAACATGAAGATCTACCGTGAGGAAGTCTTTGGTCCTTTCGTCGTTATCAGCTCGTTCAAGGAAGAGGAGGAGGCGATCAACCGTGCCAATGACACAACATACGGTCTCGGTGCAGCCGTCTTCACCGAGAACATCACCAAGGCTCATCGCGTTGCCAGACGTATTGAAGCAGGCATGGTCTGGATCAACTCGAGCAACGATTCCGATATCCGTATTCCATTCGGGGGTGTGAAACAGTCTGGTATTGGCAGAGAGCTGGGCGAGGCTGGTCTCGAGGCATACACCAACAAGAAGGTAAGTTGCGCTAGCAAGCTCACACGCAGGTCGGGCTAACATATAAATAGGCTATCCATGTCAACCTAGGAAATAAGCTGTAGCGGACTCGCATG